CGGGGGGGGGGGGGGGAGCCGCTCCCTCGCCCGGGGCGGCTATCTGCGGAGCGGGCCTTGGGCCCGGCAGCCCCCCGGCGTGAGGAACGGCCGTCAAGCCTCCCCGTGGCGCTTTGCCGTGTTAACGGGGCTCGGAGGCCTTGGCACTGGTACCTCCCCCGGGGCTGTGCCCCCTGGTCCGCAGTGGCGTCAGGCAGCAACTTAGCTTTGGGAGCCACGCCATTGCATCTCTGTGTAACCGAGTTTTTGGGTGGTTTGATGGTCCCCTAAGTAATGCGCACCTGCCCCTTGCTTTGTGGACTGTGGTAATTTGGTAAGCGCTGGCCCAGCATCAGGTCTGATGCCTGCCTGGGTGGTGCCCCTCTGGAGTTTAATCCGGGTATTCATGGTTCTCTTGGGTATCCTCGAGCATCGGTATGAGGCAGGGGCCCATTGTGGAGATTTCTACACAAAATGTTGAGATAACAAAATTGTTGATGCAGGTTTATAAGCTCCTTGAAGCAGAGGCCATCTCTGTTCTGTTTTACAGAGCTTACAGACTTTAGTGCAGGCACTTGTTGCAGTAAAAGCAGTAATTTATAACTGTGGACTGATAGCTGTGTGTATTGGAACTGGGGTGACTGGTGTGTAAAGCTAAACAAAGTGTGCTTTCCTGAGGTGAACCTCTGCTTTTGGTCTCTCTAGCACCTGGTCATCTTTTTAAGAAAGGAAGAGAAAGAAGTGGTTAGGTGAGAGAATGGTTTGTTTGCATCACTTACTTTTTTTTTTTTTTTTGCTCATTTACATTTTTACTCAGGACTAAATGGCAAGTAAATGGAGTGTTTGAAGCACTGGGTTTGATCGCCTAAGAGGAGGGACTCTGCTGAGGATAACCCACAGGGAATCTGTTGGGTATTGCTGTCATCTCAGACTCTTCCCTGATATGGAACAAAGTGAAGGTGAACAGGAGTCCCAGCCAGAGAGTCACGTGGATAGCAAGAGCAGCGTGAAATCTTTGCCTGGGGGAGAGGCCCATGTCAAACTAGAAATAAAAAAACATGCGGTTACGGATGACTACAAACTCTCCAAACGGGTGCTAGGGTTAGGAATCAATGGCAAAGTACTGGAGTGTTTCAACAAGGAGACAGGCCAGAAATGTGCTTTGAAGGTATGTAGGTTTTTTCTTTTTTTCCTTATTTATGGTTTGGAGGCCAGAGTTCACTGCCAAAGCCCTGTAAAAGCTACTTGTTCTGTTGCTTACATTTCACAAAGAGAACTGCATGAAGAATTTGAATATGTGGAGACATTTGCTATTACTTACAACACTGTAGTCCAAACTTGAGTCTTTTCCAGAATATTCTGCATGAGTTTCCAGAATAATGTTATCAGCTGTGAAATTCTCGTGTTCATATTTAAAAGACAAAAAAGCAGGGGAGAGAACAGTGTCTTGGTGTGTTCTGTGAGAAAGCTTGCTCGATTTTGAATGAACATCTTATGCAATACTTGGGAAGGAAACTATTTTGGATCTCGTGCAATGGAATAGGCCTAAACTGGGAAGTATTTAAATGTTCGTTGGTCTTCAGGCTTTCCTCCTTTTGAAGACTTTTCTTAAGGGGATTTCTAGTTGTTTACTCACTTATTCTCCTCTTTATTTTTGCGATTCATTTACAGAAGGGTATTACCTGTGAAAGCACTGATTACACCAGTATTGGCATGTAAGTTTAGTAGATATTTATGGTGATAAGTACCACTTAAATAAACGGAGCAATAACCATTCATTTGAGAACATAAGGCTTACCTGTTTTTTGCTCTGCAGCTTTTAAACTTGAAGATTTCCCTGATGTTTTTAAACCATATTGTTAGAAAAAAAGCAGCTCAAATGAGAACCAGGGTGGTTCTATGTGGTAAGACTGAAAACAAGCTAAAGTAATTGACGTGAGAATTACTTAAGAATGTTAGTGAGTTCTTGCAGGTGTTAATCTGATTAGTTGGGATGTCTAGCAGGCTTTCAGGTACCTTTTCTTAAACCTCACACTCCATGTTTGCTGACAGCAGGACAAATCTGCTAGTGGTCAGCTGGAAGGTCTGCCAAGGTCTGGATTTGAGCTTACCAAGCTGAGCTGCTATCCCCAACAAAGCCTTTGCCCTTTGATAGAACAGATGGGAAATATCTGGTGGCTTTGTGTGTTGAAAAGATTTTTAGTAGAAGAACTAGAGAAGCTTATAATACAGTAACATGCTGATTAACTCACGTTTCCAACACTTCTCATTTTCTTTATTACACAGAAGTTTATCAGGGAGAAACTGGAGGTTTTAGTAGACAGACTGGAAGTACTGGGGTTTTGCACCTACATAGGGAGGGGAGTGTCAGATTTTTACAACTCTGAGATGATCCATTAATTGGATCCTTCCGAAGTGCTATCAATGTTAATTTCTATACTTAGCATACTGTGAGGAAGGATAATAGTTAATACTGAAGCTGTTCTGCTGTTTCTGAGGAGTTCAGCGGCTTTGTTGCTGATTGTATACCATTCATACTGCAAAGGTTTTGCAGTCATAAGGGCTGGAAGCATTTTAAAATAGAAGTTGCCATTCCAGAGCACAGTCCAGTGGCAGCAAGCGTGTTCCAGAGCAAATTCTGTAGCTCTGGAATCTAATAGGAAATACATTCCTATGGATACTAGTATCTGTAATTTATTTATTTTTTTTTTTTTTAAATTCAGTGCTCAGAGTTGGGGAAGGGGAGAAAAGAGGTAAAGTTGCTGCACCCTGACAGAATGTCCTCTGCCTGATGAGGAGGAGTAACCTATAGCAGATCCTCTAGTACCAGTTTCTGTTTAGCACTGAGTTGGCTGATTTTTTTTCAGAACTTTAAAAATATATTAAGGACCAAAGCACACACCCCACACCCCCCTTCCCAAACTGGAGTTTTGTCATTAATGGCTAATATATCACTGAAATTATGTTATATATGTTTGTCATCCTCCTTTCCCCCCCCGCCCCAGCTTTGGAATGTGTGCACTTTTCTTCTGAAAGGGATAGAAATATTAAGATGTTTATGAGTTCTCTAGGGAGTTTAGATGGCGGATAATAGTTTGCTGCTTGCGTGTATGTATTTCTCATCGTTATGAGTTTAAGTGCTGAATAAAAAGTTAAATATGCAATTAAGTAAAACTGCCAGCAGCCCAGAGAGAATCTGCTATTCTCTGCAAAGATGGTCTAATGAGAAGATTACCCAACAAGGAAGGATAAAAGCTGTGCTTGGTTAATTGGCAAGAATAGAAAGATCTCTTCCTAGCCCTGAAGATATTTGCAAGCATAAAAATATTCAGTGGAAGTTTTTCTGTTGTTCTGTGTGAAACCTGAATTGGGCCATGCAAGTCCCAAACCTGCTCCAGATGAGGCTTCAGAGCAAACCGTCCAGTCAAAACAGTTATGGAAAAGGGACAAGAAACTTGGAAAAAAAGAAAATGTTCAGAAACAGCTCCAGCTCAGAATTCTCTGTGTAGGGACAACAGGACCTTGGCATTTCTGCCTTGCCAGTGCTCATACTTCCTAGGTGTGATGGCAGGATTGTCATTCACTTACAGGAACAGAAAGTGGAGACTGATGAAGCTGTCACAGAAGAAACAACTGGTCTGATGGGTAAAGAGAAATGTAAAGATTGAATTGCAAGTTGAACAGGAAAAAAGGAATGCTGGATGGATTTTTTTTTTTTTCTTCCCCTGGAGGTTGCTTGTACACTATCCATCGATCTATGTATATTTGTGGACAAATACTTTAGGGGTGAGTGTGCTCACTGTAACCTACTCCTTGGAAAGGAAAAACATCACTCCTGCTGCTGAAGAGAAAGCATAATAGTCTGTTCCCCTTCCACCAAACTTGCCCATTAAAGCAGCTTCTGATTTGGCAGATGGCACTGCTTTCTGCCTGCAGGTTTTCTTTTATATGGAAACAAAGCCAGCACAGCCAGGATCTGGACAGAAATTACTCAATGGAAGGAATTTTAACTGAAGTACTCAAGAGGAAAGGGCTCAAACAGGCAGAAACATTCATTCCCAGAGCCATGTGTCAATCAAGCACTACATACTGCAACTGGGAGGTCCCTGTCATCTTCTTTAGTCTGTGTCCGTAATTGGAACAGTTAGAATTTCACTAATCATTTTAGAGTGGGAAAACACAAGACCTCCTCTCAGAGATACTGTGGGGCTTTGGTTATTTTCCTAAAGTATTATGTGGCTTAGTTTACTCTGCTTGGCATTGTGATTTGCTACGCACTTCTACAATGTGCTGTCAGCTTTGTTTCTGTTAGATTGAAATGCCACACGCATTGCTGTCCTGCTCCAGAAAATCTAATCTGGTTACTCACTTAGACACGTAATGACATTTTGGCTGAACAGCACTGTTTCCAAATAGTGAGAATGCAGGGATTTAGAAAAGTAGAAGCATAAAAAAAACCTGCTGCGCAGGACTGTGGCCTTCTAGAAGGCAACTGGGTTTTAGTCTGTCTCTCCCTTGCAAATAAAAAAACCTCAGATCTCTTTCCACAGTTGATCCATAAATAGCAGTCAAGTGAAGTCTAGTCACTCTTCTATTTTTATCTCCTCTTTGCCAGCCTGCCCCCTTCTGTTCACTTTACCTTTTGGGGCTAAAATTTACCCTCCACTCCTTTAACACTGTCATCAGCCTGAGCGTTCTCTGCTGTTTTTCACACTCCTGCCTGTTCTCAGGGAGAGGAGGAGACCAAAATAGCTGACTACCTGTGAGGATAAATGTGGACTCCTGGGACTTGCCTCCCATTAAAAAAACCCACAACGTACAGTTCCTTGTTCTTTTTTTCTTTTTCCTTCACTACTTTTTTTTTTGGCACCAATTTCTGCTAAGTGGTGTCAAAATAATATTTCAATGGATTTGATAACCTACTTTACTTTTGTGAAAGGGCTCAGGCAGAGTCGGGATCAGGAAAAGAGAGCTAGAGAGCTTTCTGATGGGGTATTGGGACCTACCTGCTTCTGCAGCTTCAGGATTTTGGTGGCTGATTCTGGATGTAAAAACAGTGTTACATGTCGTTGGCATGCTGTTCACCTACAGCAAACAGATGTTGCTTCTTTTTAGGAGAAGAAAAGGAAGGACAATTCAGGTGTAGCAGCAAAACAAAGACTGCTGGAACTAGGAAAACGAAGTACATTGGTTATGAGTGTATTGCTACTTTTGATACAAAAGCTCTCCTGAATAACAACAGTTGTACAGTGCTTCTCCATAAGCACTGTGCACATGCACCATATACTGCAGTTGTCTTCCAGTCATCTGAGACCTCTAGGTTAAGGCAGGGAGCATATGAATGGACCTGCTAGTTCATAGCTCTTTTCCTCTACAACAAATAGTGAGTTAAGTTATGACCTTGCCTCATGGAGAATGTCCTGTGCCAACAATACAGTGCGTGTGACTTGCTGATTTGAAGACAAATAGGTGAAGCCACAATATTAAATAAAGCAAAAAGCAAATAAATAAAAAAATGAACAGGCTCCTTGCCTTCTAGATTTAAGGAACTTTTGGTAAATGATCTAAATGGTAATCATAGAGTAGGAGTCTCTACCGTTATTCGTAGGAGTATTAGCATAAGTTTGTGCTCGGAAGGAAGGAAAGAAGGTAATGGAGGAAGAAATTTTGGAAATAAATAAATAAATAAATTGTTCCCAACATGGTTCTTGGAACCACACGTAGGGCTATATAGAGAATGTTGTTCTGCTTTCCAAAGTGGAGTCGCTGTGGAGAAAGATAGTCATTCTGCATTACCTTAATTTAGTCCTGAGATACATTTCTGCCTCTCACTCAATTTTAACATTTCTGATTATGTTAAATAATACTACATCACGTAAACTAATTGCTGGATAGTCCATTTTCAGTTAGTGTACCCTGAAGTCAAGTCATGATTACTCACAAACGGGAGACTGTACAGTCCAAAGTATTTGTTTTGCAAGTTATCTAAATAGCTGATACTTTTAAAATACCCTGTTTATTGCCTGAAATAAGATGATGATCAAGGAAAAGAGTGCAGCAGTGGAAAAGGCAATGGATACACTGAAAGTGAAAGTTATTTTAGGCTGATGATTGATTGCAGGATAGGAAATGTTAACAAGCTTCTTAGATGCTATAGATTGCATTTTT